AAATAATTGATGGAGTAAGGTTTCTTCCAGTTTATTCTATAAAGTCGACTGATTCCCAGGAAGTTAAAAAAAAAAATCAAAGATAGATTTTTAGATATTTTCTTTTGAATGAAACTAATATATAAAAATGTGAAAATCAAAAGTGCTGACTTTAAAATTTTGGTAAAATATCACCCTCTTTAAAGATGAAAAGTCAAATTTATTGAAATAAGACAGTTCTGTAAAAACCATATTCATATTATTACAGTGATATAACATTCCCATTTTATTCATTAACATTTTAATGCAAATAAAATTAATAGTTTAAAACAAAGTCACAAATATTGGAAGGAAATAAAATTACATAACTTCTAGTAATGTAGGAATGAATAAATTAGGAATTTCTGCCTAAATGAAATATTTTGAACTATAATTCTAAAGACTTGATTTTTAGTTTAAAATTGGAATTGAAACTCACAGCAAAAATAAATTACATAAAGCAAGATCTACAATTTAAGAAACAATCTGAACCGCATCAGTAAAATATGTATGAACTGAAAAGAGTAAGATGAATATGTGCCAAGTAGAGCAAAATGCTTTAAAATGCCCAATTTTCATAGTCCTATATCAGAAGGACACACCTTCAGTTCACTTATAAATTGCATTTGACAAGTGATTCTGAGAGTTTAAATGCACTAATTCCAGAATCTGAGACATATGAAGGATAAATAACCAAACATGTGATCAACAACGCAATTACTTTAGTAATGGCAAAGTATTTTACTTCAAATAATAAAATCATTCCTTTGAAAAGAATTAAATCTGGAATATATTTCCAAAAACTATGTCTGACATAGACATCATCTGGTATTTGTAAGGTCATTAAAGTGTACTTCCTTTGAATAATAATTTTTAAATAGCAACCAGGTGATTTCAGAACACATGTGTCTGTAACAGTAATATTGGAAATTGTCAAAATAAAGTGCCCTCAATACTCTATCCTGATTATACCTTTCTTTGAGGTAAATGTTTAGTTTTGGCAATGGGACATTGATTTTCCTGTCTTTCCCACAATATAAGTAAAAATGGAGTGGATATACATCATGAAAAAATTATCAATAGTGACACTGGATTTAGAAGATACAGTAAAATCCTCCTTTTAAAACACCATGCCATATCACCAGTTCAATTCTACTCAAGGCCACATTTTTTCTCTCAGTTGATACTTTAGAGCATACTTCTCTTTGTTAATGGAACACTTCCCCATTCTTATGCTACCGTAATAACAGGAATTCTAGTCCATTCAGAAATTCAGGTGCATTGTCTCACCACAGCTCAAGTATTTTGGACGTACTCACTTACTTATTCTTGACTTTCATGTACAATGCTTTTTTTCTAATGGCTAACCTCTCCTTTTTGATGGTGACTGAGTAAAGCCAATCTTGTAAGTGGGTAGTTCCTTGCTAACATGATTTCAGGGGCATCTAAATCTTTCTATCCCCAAATTGATTATTATCTGTCTGTTCAGTGATGCTAAAGTTACTTGAAGCAAAGAGGGGAAAGACATCTTTCTACAACTGTAAGCAAAAATGCGGGAGGGTGTAATACTGACAAGTCACATTCACCATAAATTGATTGAGGGGAAAAGGGAGGAGTGACAAACAAAACTGGATGGTAGATACCTGATGGCTGGGGGAAAGGAAAAGCAATGATCATGGGTGAGGAAAGATGCAGACTTCAACCCAACCATCATACTTTTCACAATACTGTCTTTGTCCCTAGGAGAAGGTGTAGTATGAATCATGCGGCATGGCTGGAAAAGAGAAATGGCTACCTGACTAAACCATGTAGGTGCTTGTTTCCTATTTCCCCATCATTTGCAACTTTCTATCAAAAAAAAAAAAATCCAGGTTTGCAGCCTGGAATGCACATTGGGGAAATTGACCATGTCTTAGGATTTGTGCAAAAGAAAAGGAAATTCTAGGAAAAAAAATGTTCTGACCCTGAGACCTTTCTAATTCAACATGAGTTTTATGATTCCTCTTTTTGCTGAGCTTCTACATTGTGGGATGGTTCATTGTGACTAATAATGCCATTTCAAAAGAATCATATACAACAAAATTTAAAAGACATAGTAAGATGAGAGATACCAAATGACATTTAATTGAGAGATGAGAACACACCAGATGTAACCATGTACTGCTTATAGAGTTGCCAGTACTGAAAATAGATGGATATACTACTTAATGTAAAAATCTGTGACAATTCTGTTAGACTCAAAAGCTCCAGATTTTTTAGTACTATATATTTATTTTTGTTAAAGATATTCCATAGATATATTTAAGTATGACATATACAGGGACCTATAATTGTGAGCCACTTTTATTCTAGACTGCCAATTGCCTCCCCATCTTACATTCTGAGCTCTGCCACACACCCCAGTCTCAGAGGGCAGCTGACTGATCCACAGAGATGTTCTATGTTGGGTGCTATTGTGTATACCACCTTAATCTCAATGCATTATTTTAGGTTAAAAAAAAAGTCACAACTGTCAGCTCTATACCCAAACACAGTTCATTCAAATGATGACTTCAATGTAAATCATAAATGTGGCTGATTTTTTCCTAATATAACTGTTATACTTTAAAGATCTAGAAGGTTAGAAATAAAGTCTCAAGCTAACATTTAAAGATTTCTTATAAGTTTAAGAAGACTTTTTGGCCAAAAGACCTTTCATTTTGGTCACATATCAAAATGGGCCAACCACAAAAGTACATGAGATTAAGTTTTTCTATTGGCAGTTCAATTCTTACAGATGCTCTGTCTTTCTCTCTCTCTCTCTCTCTCTCTCTCTCTCTCTCTCTCTCTCTCTTGCTCTGTGTGTGTATGTGTCTGAATTTTTTAAATTAATTTTCAAAAGCCTAAATGGAAAAGAAACATACATGTCTCATTTGTAAACATGTCTTCTACCTGTAGAGCATTTTACAAAACACAAAAAATTCTTACTTGAAGGCCTATAGCTACAGCTAGTTCCAAAATCTAAATGTTTAATAAAATAGGTAACAGAAATTTAAAATCTGATGCAATTCTCAGAGCTTATAATAATCTGACCTTTTATAACTTACATAATACAATTTCTCTACCTTTTCTGATGGTAGAAAAGAGGCAGAAATTGAGATTCTCCCCACAATGGCCAACTTGGAGTATTTACAAACTTTATTCTTATTCTATGTCATCATTTCCTTTTCAGACTTAGAGATGTGATTATGGTCAGTCTTAAGGTGACTTGCATTTGCTAACTTTACAGCAAGGCCAGAGGATATATGGCATTTTGGTGTTTTTAGTTAAGTTTTCTATATCGAGACGTTCCAAAGGATGTGAAAACAGAAAAAATAATAATAAAGTTTTGTATCATCACATGGTCTTCCAACATAACCTGACAGTCATCCTTTGGACCAGTCTCGCTCACTTACCGACCATTCTCACTCAGAGTTAATGCCGGGCAAGAACTTACTCTAAGAGTCGCACGTAGCAGTAGGCTCAGTCAATCAGGCTATGGGTTAGGTCTGGTTAACATTACAGTGGCTGCTCCTTCCACTTAAAGATTCTCATGACCTCAGAAAAGCACTAGATTGTTCTTGTAAAGAGGAGGTAGTAAGCACTCTCATCTAAAAAGGGACTAGTTACAGAACATTAATTTTCCAAAATTGTTTCTAAAATTCCACCAAATTAAACTCCTACTTTACAGACAGAGCTGCCACTATGCCAGAAGGAAGTTGTAAAAGCACTGTTAAAATCCTCTAGGAGTCATTTATTTAGGTTAAATATTTTAGAATAGATATCAAGGTATTTTTAAAAGAAAACGCATAAGGATTCTTCTAATTTTTAAATGCTTGTCTATCTTAAGTACCAGCACCCCATAGATTATCTCCTGCCATGCCAATAATTGTTAGCCTATTAGGAACAATAACATGAGCCTACCGGACAATAGTTTGTATTTGGTTGGGAATAAATATTTTGGGGTTAAAATTCTAATTATATAGTGCCTGTCACTGTGTAAAAGCCCCATAGAAGCGAAATGTTCAGAAGTCCCAGCGTAATTAAAGAAAAGAGGCATTTTTATTTTTCCACATACTCGATGCACTAGCTTAAAATATTAAACATGCATGCACTACATAAAATTACATTTCTTGGAGTTGAATTTTATTTCTGCTACAATGTTTATTTTTGATGTAGGGCTGCATAATGATTCCTTTTAAAAAGATACCTTTAAATTATAAGGGCTTCCAGCCTCTACCTGGAAATTAGAGCTGTGCAGATAAAACACAAAGTCGTTAATAAATATCACAAAGATAATTCTAACAAGAAGCACCATGTTAAAAGTAAGACAGGAATCAGAAAAATCATCAATTACTGACACACGAAATCACACCTTCGAAAAAAGAGGGAGCTGGAAGCAGCGGCTACCCTTCAGGAGGGCTGTTTGATACCAACTGAAATGCCAGGGACTCCTGGCTGGTGGGCAGCGGGAACTTTGCAGGCAAGCGGTACGGGGCAGCCACAGACCCGGGGCTTCCATCTGTCACCACCTGCCCGCAAAGCCCATCGAGAGCCCCAAAGCCCCCGGGGACCCATCTGGGGGGACTGGGAGCAGGACAAAGGTCTGAAATCCAAGTCCTAGGATTAAAGAAAGAAAATGCGCAGGTTCAATTAAAGTGCCTACGGCAAGTACGGGGAGTGAGGGGAAATGACACTGGCCCCCAAGAATTCTCAGGCGTTTAGCACAAGCACCAGCTCAACATGAGGAGACGCGTTCGGGGAGTGGAGACATGGAGAATGAATTCCCAACTCGCGACTCCATTCTCCACTAACTTTGTTCTCGCTTCCTGGACCGAGCGCAACGCTGGGGCCAGGGTTGTCATGGTTCTTGTTTACAGGGCCCCTTGGAAGAAGGAAAGGGATAAAGGTGCGCTGGCGGGCGCACCCAGCGGCGGTGAGCACGGAGGTGCTGCGGTACCTACCATGGTATTCTTGTCCCGGAACGTAGTAGGTGGGGTTGCCCGCAATGTGCAGAGAAATGAGCACCTCGCCCTGCTCCCCATCCCCTTCCAGCTCCCCGTGGTGGGTGCACAGGAAAAAGAAGGGCGAAAAGCGGGGGTAATAGCCCGCCGCCGCGCGCGCCCTCAGCGTCGTCCCCAGCAACAGCGCCAGGACGAAAGTCCGCGGGGCCCAGCCACTGCGCTCCATGCTGCCGCCGCCGCGCTCCCCGCGCGCCGCTGGCTCATCCAGTTTTGGAGACGCCGGGACTGAGGAGCCACGCGGAGGGATGGAGAGAAGGCGGGGGAGCGGAGCGGAGCGGGCTCGGGAGCCGCCCCCCGCCGTGAAGTTCCGCGGGAGACGGCGGCTCCCAAAGTTACTTTGGGCTGCGGGAGCGCGGGGCCCGGGCTGCCGGCGCCGAGAGCGCGTCGTCCGCTGCCTCCGTGCGCCGCCGCCGCCGCCTCTGCGCGACGCCCCTCGGCCAGGCCTGGGAAAGCGCCCGCCCCGCTCCACACCTTCTTAAAGCCCCGGGCGCCGCGTCCCCCCCGCCGCCGCCACACGTGTCCCGGCCGCTCCCCCGCCCCCGCGCGCCGCCCCGCCTGGCCCCCGCCCTCTCCGGCTGGCTCGGCCGCACCTCGCGCGGCGAGGGGCGCACGCGTCCCCGGAGTCCCCGGCCCGCGCCCAGTTCCCACCCGGTAGAGCGGGGAGGGGCGCGCGCCGGGGAGCGGGACTGGGGGCGCTGTGGAGGACCGCGGAGCCCGCGACTTTCCTCCGAGAGGCGTCAAAGCCCGGGAGAAGGCACCTCCTGCCCAGCTGTCCGAAAGGGAAAGCCAGCCCGTTTGGCCGTCAGGGCTCCCGGGTTTTCCTGAGAGGATGCGCTAGGGAAGGAGAGAGGCGGCGGGGACGGCCGCTGGCGCCGGCTTCTTTGTCTGCGCCGGCTGCGTCTCGCGCCCCTCGGGGCTCGCAGCCTGGCAGCCCGGGCGGCCCGTACGCGTCTGGGAATCCGCCCGCGGCCGCGAACCGCCGGGGGCTCTCGCGCTCACTTCCCACCCAGGCCCCCGTCCCTCCCGCCGCCCCCGCCCGGCCCCTCGCAGCAGCGACAGAGCCTCATTTGTAGCGGATTTTAAAATGAGATTAAGCGAAAGTGGAATTGGCAGCCTTGAGTGGTGCCTGGAAATGGTGATTTGTGCTGCTCGGTTGTGGGGAATTGTGAGGCCGGCAGGGCTAGCGGAGCTGAAATCCGACAGGCGCTCTTCGCCGGGCTGCTCTGTTATTCATTGCTACCGGGCTCTGTAGGCGGAGATGGGTGTCGTAATTTTTTTAATCAGTGTTTATTTCCTTTAAATGTCGGTTATGACCAATGGCCCTGAAATCGGGGGAGGGAAAAACGTGCAGGGTAGATGCTGGCAGCGGTGATTGAAGCGGGTGGTAATGAGCGGCTGCACATGAACTGCAGGGAAGTGAAATAATCCATAAGCACGTTTTTAACCGAGGACGGCTGGCAGGAGCCCTGCGGCATCCGAAGATGGGGGAGCGGGGTTGCCAGGTTTTAATGCCTCTCCCCACCCACCCTTGGCTTGCCACCAAGCCAGATAAACCCGCACGTACAGAAATGAGTAGATTATAAAATTGGAAGGGATGGTACCTTTGCTTGCGTTTGTGGGGTGAGGGGCGGTGAAAATCAGGGTCCAAGGGGAGACCTCTGCAATCACTTCATTGCAAAAGGAAGAAATTGTTTTCCATTCTCTCACCGAGACCGAATGACAGGTAGAAAGGTCTCTCGAATGACAGGTCCATTTCTAGCTGGCTTCTTGTTTCCCTTACTTCAAAATCCCCAGGGGCTTAACTGCCATATATATGATATACAATGTATACATATGTGTGCGTGTGTGTGTGTGTGTGTGTGTGTATATATATATAATGTAGTAACAATTGCTACACTGTAGCTCTGTGCTGGGCGCAGACTACGGGGCTATAGGTACTCTACCTTTTTAATCCTAACACCAACTGAACGGGCAAAAAATATCCCCATTTCACAAGGGAGGAAGCACTCAGAAATGTTGATAATTGGCCCAAAGTCAGTGACAAAGGCTGGATGGAGGGCAGATTGGCTGGCTTCAAAGGCTCTCGTCCTGCACTGACCTGCCCTGGTCTACAGATCTAGCTGGAGCAGGTGGTGTTGACCCAAACAGAATTAGGAGATACTCGCTCACAGCTAACAAGACTATTGCCGCCTTCCTGTCCAGTCATGTGAATATAGCCAAAGACAAAATTAATCACTTGTAGAAAGAATAAAAAACTAATGTTTTTGGTTCACACTTTTAAAATGTTTACTTACTATGCATTGAGCACCGTCCTAAGTACTATGCATACTAACTCCTTTAATCCTCATAACAATACTATGGGAAAAGTACCATTAATATCTTCATTTTATTACGATGAAACAAGCACAGAGAGGTTAAGTAATTTGTCCAAGGTCACACAGCTAATAAGTGAGAGCTGTGACTTGAACCCAGGCAGTCTGATTCTGACACTTTAACCACTGCAAATTGCCTCTAAAGAATGCATGTTGGTGTTGCTAGAGGGATGAGAGGATAATTATTCTTTATTCAGTGTCAGAACACCTCATTTCATTCTTACATCAGGCTGCAAAGTAGGTATAATTATCTTCATTTTCAAAGAGGAGAAAGTTGAGATTCATAGAAGTTAAAGGAGCTTGGGATCAAATCTGGCCATGCTTGATGCCAATGTCACTGCTTAAATAAACCATCTTTAGTAAATGCTGACACTTGATCCAGGATAAGATTGGAACTTAGTTCATATAAGGTCCTCAATTCCCAGGAGGCCCCCTCCCATTGGGTAGTGTACTTTCAAAGAAGTATTCTTTCTCATATCTCTCGACATGGCTTTCTTAACATTCAATTTATGTGACTAAGTTTATTTTTCAATCTTCCCCTTTATTGTGCTTCCTTAGTTTTTATCACACTGCTTTGCTATTGCATTTGAATAACTTTTATACTCTTAGCCATGAAGCAAGCTCACATTTCTGACTACAGCCCTGCAGTTATTCAGTAGCAGGCACAAAGGCTGTTTAAATAATGTCCTAACTGGTTTTGAACTGGTCAAGAGGGCAGTAGATGTTGGTACTTAGCTCCACTCTTCAGTCCTTAGGACTAACATGAATACCTTATGGAGGCTCAAGTTCATATTTGTTTAATCTCTAACACTTTTTTGGTTGAGGTCAGTTCAACTAGTCATCATTAAAAACTTTTAAATAACTTTTAGAAAAATCAAAATCAGAAAAATAAATGAGTCATATATAATCCATTGAACTGAAGGTAGCATCTTCTTAGTGAGCAACTTACTTGAAATCACCCAATAAGGTGGAAACCCAGGTTAGACAGCAAAACTTCCTGTTTCCCAATTTGTGTGCTAACCCTTATGCCTCATTTCTATTTAGTGAGCCATAATAAATATCCCCAAGAATATCTGGCTTACAAAATCCAAAACCTTCTGAACTAACGGAAAAATAGAGAAGTGCTTTTCAAGAAAAATTGGTTTACATCAAAAACATCTGCAAAAAATAAAAGGTGATGCTGGGTGAAAATCAATAGGGCTTGTGGGAAAGGGAGTTTAGGATGGGATGAGACTTATTTTTAATTAAGAGAGCTTTGAAATAGTAAATAGTCTACCAAAAGAATTAAACTATTCTTAGAAGATAAATCCACTTCTTCTTGATAAGTGGAAATTATTGCCCAGTATTTGAATAATCATAACACCATGGGAATTAAATTTATATGTATATGAATTTATATATATATATATTATATATTTATATATATATTTATTTATATGTAAATAAATATATATATTTTTTAATGAAGTATAGTAATAGGCACAAAGCCATGAACAAATCATAAGGGTAGTGTGCAATGCATTGTCACAAGTGGAACACCTCATGTAAGCAGCATCCAAAGAATGTAGACAGAAGTCTCCATGACCACTTTGAGCAATCGTATGCCTCAAGGCATGGAAAAGTTTCAAGCAGAAACATAACATGTCTTCAGGATGGTTATTTTTACTTGTTTTCAAACTTTATATAAGTGGAATTATACAATATATGTGATTTTATATCTGGATTCTTTGGCTCAAAATCATGGAGTGAGAATTATTTAAGTTTCCATATGTAGCAAAAATGTGTTAAATTGTATCCTGTAGAGTGTATGGGGGAGGAAGTCACAATTTTCTTATCTATTATTGTAAATTTTGGCTATTTTCAGTTTTGGGCAACTGTAAATATGAAGTTAAAAATATTCTTGCACATGTCTTTTGGTGAACATGTGTATACATTTCAGTTAAGAAAGGGAGTGTTAGATCATGGAGGAAACCCCTTTTAACACACTGATGAATAACTGAGAAATAAAGATAAATCCTTAGAGTTCAAATGAAATAACAGCAGGAATACAGAGATAAAGAATGGAGTATGAGTCCACGCAGGATTCTGAGACATTTGCCCGCTTCAGTAACATTTAAATTTCCATCGTGATGGCCATGTGGGGTTGAGAACAGAGATAAAGCTTAGGGCCTGCTCGAGGTTGGAAGAATGTTAGGCCGTTGCTACTCAAAGGTAAGCAGATTGATCTCCAAACTATCTGTTACCAGTACATGTTGAGATATGCACAGAAATTGAGACTGTTTAAAAACTTTCACAGTTATTGTTTAGTGCAATAGTATCTAAGCAGCATTCCATTTCCTTGTATTGACTGTAGTTTTACAAAAGTATCTGTCTGTGATGGATTATGAGTTAGTATGCAAAGTACTGTCCCAGGAAATCTGAAATTAAAGCTATTACCCATTCCCAAATAGCTCAGCCCTCAATGAAAGGTGAACTAGAAAAAAAAAAATCAGAAATTCTCTCACTGAAATTTGAAACCGCAGTCTGGCTTTCAGGAGTTTTTATCTATCAGGCTTATAGAAAGAAACGGAAATCACTAAAAGACCAGGAAGTTTTACAGCTCAAGGACATCAATTAAAAAAAAAAAAATCAGGAAATTTTTAAAAGGAACCAGCTATAAGGGAAAACCAGAGTGGTAAGTATGTGCAGTGATACATATGAATGTGGGTTCCCAATTATATGGAAATGCAATATATGGCAGCTGTCAATGCAAATCAAAAGAAGAAAAAGTTGACTTTCCAATGAATGTGCTGAGACAATTGGTTTTTCATAGGAAAAATAATCAAATTGGACCTCCACTTCCCATGAGGGCCATAGGCTGAAATATAGAGCCTTTCAGTTTCATAAGTCTCTTCTAGGTCTTGAGGGGAGCCTTGGGTTCACATGGTCATATTTTTAAAAATTTGAAAAGTAAAATATTTTCAATACATTCACTAAGATCACCATCTTTTTCTATTCTAACTACTCCTCCACATTTTTCTTTGTATAGACTGTCACTGGAGTCACTGTGAGCATTTTTTTTAGATATGGCTAAAGAAAAGTTGATTTGGAGATTCACTGCATGTGAGTTTAGTTGGATATTTTTATTTTATTTATTTATTTTTTGAGATGGAGTTTTGTTCTTGCTGCCCAGGGTGGAGTGCAATGGCGCAATCTCAGCTCACCACAACCTCCGCCTCCCGGGTTCAAGCAATTCTCCCACCTCAGCCTCCCAAATAGCTGGGATTACAGGCATGCACCACCACGCCCACCTAATTTTTTGTATTTTTAGTATAGACGGGGGTTTCTCCATGTTGGTCAGGCTGGTCTTGAACTCCAGACCTCAGGCGATCCACCCGCCTTTGCCTTCCAAAGTGCTGGGATTACAGATGTGAGTCATGGTGCCCAGCCTTTTTAATGTGGTTTACAGTCAGTCTGTGTTTGCAAAGTTATTGAAAGAATGACTTCCAGAAATATTTCTACTGGTACTATGCTGACCTACCTGGAGCCATGACATGCAGGTGCAAATTATGGGTTGTATCTTATAACGTGTTCTATAGGCCCTGGCTCCAGAAATATGTAAACAGTAGAGTGGTACAAGGTGGGGAATGTATGAAGCCAAAAGCTAATCTGTGAACAAATTCTTCTAATCCTAAAATGTTGCAAAATGTAAGTTC